CAAGGATGGCAGGCGACGCGGCATATCGAGCATGACTGCTAACCTGTTATGGTACTTGCAGATCGACCGAATGGTGTTCCACGCATCCCATGAGCTCCAAGAATCGACGTTCTTCGACTCACTGCTGGCCTCGAATTCTGGCCTTGCGAAGCGCGCTAGATCACCCATGTCGTCCTTGCTGGAGTCTGATTGCGTCCCATCCATGGGTAGTTGGATGTGCATCTGGATGTAAGATCCAGTGACAAGCGCCTCCTTGATAGAACGAGCATACTGAGACACGCCGGTCTGGCCGTGAGCGAGTCTTGGTCCAGGGATGACCAGATTGGTAACACCACAGAAAGCTGCATAGGCAACCTCAAGGTGAAAGACTTGGCGCGACAAATGGGAGATGATCGGGTCTGGAGAAGACAGATCGATCCATGAGCTGGTAAATGCTACCAATTGACTAATAATCTCATTCGGGCTAAGTGGTGTATCGAAGTTGTCCAAGGCAGGTATCAAGGGGAGCGGTTGGGATTGCGACTCAGCGAGGGCTTGGGTGTAGGAGTTGAGCAGACTCAAGACGCGGTTCTGGAAGTGGTCGTTGGTGATGGTGCTAGTGAGCATATCATACTGGAGGTTGTCAGTAGGGTTCTGGCTAGTTTTGGAGGCACTTACTCCGAGATCTTGGGCATGCTGCACCAACTCGGGCGAGACGTCCAGGGTACGCTTCGACTCATGTTGGCCAATATAAAATACGGGCGCATGCTCGCCCATGCCTTCCGAGTAGTCCATAATAGTATCGGGATTTGTTAGGCCAAGATGAGAAAAAGTGTTAGTGGGAGAAAAGTTGGTGAATGTTGCGGACTACCGCGGGGTCAGCAAAGTCGCGGATGCAATGCTGCGGCGCGCGACCAGGGATGCGGTACGTGATCACAGCGGCAGGAACGTGGAGTAGAAGGAAGGGGCCACCAGGGGTGGAGAAGATATATTTACTACATGGCGGCGTGTGGATATTGCTGTGGTGCCTTGCAGCCTGTCGTCGATTGCGCCAAGCGCGAGCAGTCGCGGTAAGTGGAGCTAAGGGCCCGTCGCATAACTTTTTCTGGGACGGCGAGTGCAGGCGACACCGACACGCGCAAACGCCCCCAGCACCACAATGACAGCCATGACGAAGCGCGAATACGGCGACGACGACAGTGCCCGCGTCAAGCGCGTCAAGACCGAGTCCAACGGCGAGGGCAAGATGGACGCGGCTGCGAATCCCTACCTGGCGCACTGGAACGACGACAAGCCCGTCAAGAGCGAGTACAGCGGCAGCGCCTCCGGCCTCCAGGGCTTCAAGAAGCATGCGACGACGACTGCGCAGGCCAACGCCGCCGAAGACGGCCCCAACAACGCCTTCACCGGCCGCCCGCTCTCGAGCAAGTACATGAGCATCCTCAAGAAGAGGCGAGACCTGCCCGTCCACCAGCAGCGCGACGAGTTCCTCAAGCTGTACCAGGAGTCGCAGATCCTCGTCTTCGTCGGTGAGACGGGTTCCGGAAAGACGACACAGATCCCGCAGTTCGTCCTTTTTGACGACCTGCCCCAGCAGAATGCCAAGATGGTCGCCTGCACCCAGCCGCGCCGTGTCGCTGCCATGTCCGTCGCCCAGCGTGTGGCCGAGGAGATGGACGTCGAGCTGGGCGAGGAGGTCGGCTACAGCATCCGTTTCGAGGACAAGACGGGGCCCAACACCATCCTCAAGTACATGACCGACGGAATGTTGCTGCGCGAGGCCATGAACGACCACAACCTCACGCGCTACAGCACCATCATCCTCGACGAGGCTCACGAGAGAACCCTGGCTACCGATATCCTCATGGGTCTGCTGAAGGAGGTCGTCCTGAGGCGGCCGGACCTCAAGCTCATCATCATGAGTGCTACGCTCGATGCTACCAAGTTCCAGAAGTACTTCCACAACGCGCCCCTGCTCGCCGTACCTGGACGAACCCACCCCGTCGAGGTCTTCTACACGCCGGCTCCCGAGCGAGACTACGTCGAAGCCGCCCTGCGCACCGTCCTCCAGATCCACGCCACCGAGCCCGAAGGCGATATTCTGCTATTCTTGACTGGTGAGGAGGAGATTGAGGATGCGTGCAGGAAGATAAACCTCGAGGCCCAGGACCTTTCTCGTGAGGGTGGTGCTGGACCGCTCGTGGTATACCCGCTGTACGGAACCCTGCCGCCCGCACAGCAGCAGAAGATCTTCAACCCTGCGCCTCCGCCCGCAACACACGGCGGCCGCCCCGGACGCAAGTGTATCGTTTCTACCAACATTGCTGAGACATCTCTCACCATTGACGGTATCGTTTACGTCGTGGACCCCGGTTTCAGCAAGCAAAAAGTCTACAACCCCCGTATCCGTGTCGAATCTCTCCTCGTTTCGCCCATCTCCAAGGCCTCAGCACAACAGCGAGCCGGTCGTGCCGGACGTACGCGTCCCGGTAAATGCTTCCGTCTGTACACCGAGCAAGCCTTTAAGAAGGAGCTCATCGAGCAGACCTACCCCGAGATTCTCAGGTCAAATCTGGCTAGTACCGTTCTAGAGTTGAAGAAGCTTGGAGTCGACGATCTGGTACACTTTGATCTGATGGACCCGCCCGCGCCTGAGACACTGATGCGTGCGTTGGAGGAGCTCAACTACCTGGCTTGTCTTGATGACGAGGGTGAGCTGACCACACTCGGAGGACTCGCCTCGCAGTTCCCTCTGGATCCCGCATTGGCAGTCATGCTCATCACATCGCCCGAATTCTACTGCTCAAACGAGATCCTATCGCTTACTGCGCTCCTCTCTGTACCCCAAATCTTCGTCCGTCCAGCCAACAACCGAAAGCGGGCGGATGAAATGAAGGAGCTGTTCGCACATCCCAAGGGTGACCAGCTTACCATGCTCAACGTCTACCATGCATTCAAGAGCGAGGAGGCGCAAGCGAACCCGAAGCAGTGGTGCCACGACCATTTCCTCTCTTATCGAGCGCTGCAACAAGCTGACAACGTCCGTCTGCAACTGAAGCGCATAATGGAGCGCGAGGAACTTGAACTTATGTCAACGCCGTTCGAGAACAAGAAGTACTACGAGAACATACAGCGTGCACTTGTCGCCGGTTTCTTTATGCAAGTCGCCAAGCGCGACGGCAACGGCAAGAGCTACATCACCGTAAAGGATGAGCAGAATGTTCTTCTGCACCCTAGCACTGTGCTTGCAGAGGACAGTGAATGGGTCATCTACAACGAGTTCGTCTTGACAACCAAGAACTACATCCGAACAGTGACATCCGTCAAGCCAGAGTGGCTCATGGTGAGTGCATCCCTTTTTACTTTAACAAACGTTTTACTAACCTCCGCCAGGATATCTCACCAAACTACTACGACTTATCGCAGTTTAAGAAGGGCGAGATCAAGACGGCTCTGCAGCGAGTGGTTACCAAGCTCCAGCGGAAGGAGGTCGAAAAGGGAGGACGGAGATGATGCGCTTCGAGTGCGCTATGGAAGCACATGTAAAACAGAGGTCCAAGGCAAGCGGAACATGGGCAGCATCGTGGGCGCCATATAGAGGGCGCTCGATTTGATGTAGTGCCATTTGGCGTTAGGCTTGCTTTTGCATCAGATGACATGATTGAGGTCGGGGACACTACCTGAACGCATTCTAATTAATCCTTATGCATCTTCATCTTGCACCCTGATTTGCGATATCGACTAACCATATGCGCGCTAGCGTTGACCCCCACATGTCGGTATCTGCGCGTGCCGACATCTCCAACTTTTTCTCAGCTCAGCATTTCCGCGACAACGCGATCGCAAACCACATTACGCGACGGAACAGTGTCGGTCCCTCTCGAAAATGGCTCCAGTACAAAGTGAAGACGCGTCTTTGTTTCATATCGAGCGCATATCGCAATATGTCTGCATCCCACCCTCGTGTCTCGCGGATCCCTTCTCAGCAGTATGCGCAACAGTACTATCACCACTACTCCTCACCTACTTCCCACCTGCGAAGGGCGTAGTACTCGCATACGAAGATGTAGAGTTGCAAAGTACGCCACCCGCCATATCGGATCCGAAATCCAAGAACAAATCACAGTCACAACAACGAAGCGAATCCAGTTCCAACGACAATGCGCCCGCTGAGCCACTACTACTCAGGCACGTCGATGAATACGCAGCGCCGTTCCTTTGGGTCACAGCCTCTTTTATCGTATGGCGTCCAACTCGAAATGCATACCTCACCGCGCACATCACCGACCAAGCGAAGACGCATCTCACACTCGCACACCTCAACACCTTCCCCGTCAGCATACTCAAGGAATGTCTTCCCTCAGACTGGTCGTGGCATTCGGAAGAATCCGGTCAAACGAAGCAGGGATGGGATGGCAAACTGTCGGACGAGGGAGGCTGGTGGGTGAACGGCGACGGAGAGAAGGTGGAGGGAGAGCTACGAGTGAGGATACGAGACGTTGAGGGCAGGATGGATGGAAAAGGAAAGGGCAAGGGTTTCTTGCGCATTGACGGAGCGCTGGTTTCTGAGGAGGAGATCAAAGCCACACAACAGAAGGCTGGTAAAGGGAAGAGGAAAGCTACTACGAGCGCGATGAAGGCACAACCACAGAAGCAGGCGGAGGGAGAAGTCATGGAGATCGATTCGGACTAGGTCGTGGGTGATGGGACACTATACGGATCTATCTGGTCGCAAACTCTGCGATATGCGCAGCATATCATTCGCATCAAAACGGCGTTAAGGCGTTTGAAAACTAAGCAAGATGCAAACTTAAGCATCCACGATACCACACAAATATAACAACCTTGATCAAACGCTCCACTTCCCGTCCCTCGTGAGCACAGACCAATCAGACAACGCACACCTCCGTCTCCCGCCGCAGCAAACCGCGGCAAGCATCCCCCATCAAACCCATCCCATCCCACCACCCACCTCCCTCCCCAACCACCCACACTCTTTCACCCCACCCACCCACCATATTATGTCTTCATCCAAGAAATCCTCCTCCTCGTCCTCCCGCAAATCACGCTCCCACGACCCCATCTACGAATCTGGATATAGCAGCAGCAGCAGCAGATCCTACGGCACGACGTATAGCAGCATGTCGCCTTTCTGGACGATTGGGACGCTGCTGGGGGCGAGCAGTGTAGCGCTGGGTGCGTTTGGGGCGCATGGGTTGAAGACGCGGATTAGGGATCCGGGGGCGTTGGCGAATTGGGGGACTGCGGCGAATTATCAGGTATGTGATTTGTTCTTCTTGAATGAGATAGTGGTTTGGTGTATGGGATGGGCGTGTGTTGTGGGCGTCGAGAGTGGTTTGTGGCTCTGCGTCCGCAGTCCCAGTGGATGAGATGCTATCAGGCGCAATATTTGCCCCTCTTCGCATTGGACACCGCATTTCATTCTGTCTCATGCTAACGATGGATATAACAGCTCGTTCACTCCGTCGTCCTAACCATGACATCCGTCGTCGCGCCGCAAAACAAAATCGCCATGGCCCTCTTCACCGCCGGCATGACCATGTTCTCTGGAAGCATATACCTGCTTGTGCTGGATGCGAAGAAGTACAAGCAACTGGGGCCTGTCACGCCAATTGGCGGCGCTTGCCTTATTGCTGGCTGGCTGGCGCTGGCCGCGAGGGGAAAAATGGTCAGACTACCTAGGAGCGCGTGAAGGATGAAGACAAAGGATTCATGGACCGGGAAATGTACAGTCGAACAAAGCCTGCAGGTCTGGCATATCACGAGATGCATGAGATACTTGGTTATGAGCATGATGAATGACAACAAATTGCTTCTGGCAAATTCTACAACGAGTCAAATCCTTCACCGTGCAACAACTCTTCACAAACACATCCTGAGATCAAAATAGCTACACCGGTCCTTACGCGCCACCACGCCCACTCGCGGATGACTAGTTTGCGATCAAGATCTTTAGTTCCCATGACTCGAGACGAGCCGCACCCCACATCCGCAAGCCTAGAACATCATCTTCAACGTCCATCCCAACCAGCTATGTGCTGGCGTCCCGCTCAAACACATTCTTTCATGTGTCGCATGTCCCAAACGCTGGTTTGGGACCAAATGACCGTTATGGCCCCCAAACATGTCCCATTATGACATGCTCCGGCACTTTCCCCCACTTAGATATGTAGCGTGTGCCGCAGGAAGCGGCTGCATGGGATAGCGGCTTTCTACCTTGTAAGAGAACCTTGTAAGAGAACTAGGGTAAAAGCAATGTCTTTCCATGCGCCAGTATCGTTCCTTTGCTCACATTGCCGTACACCATGGAAGCAACGAGCATTGAGACATCGTCAACAACATGGCTGCCATCAGCGCGCCATATCTTGGGTCTCGCAGGCCTTTGGCTGGTGTTCAAGGTGCTAGAAGCCATCTACAACATCTCGCCGCTCCACCCGCTGAGTTCAATCCCTGGACCAAAATTAGCAGCAGCGACATACCTGCCCGAGTTCTACCACGATGTTGTCAAGTTTGGCTGTTACACGAAGGAAATCAGTAAAATGCATATGGTTTATGGTGAGCTCATCACTAGCTATCTCAGACCAACTCGCGAGCTAATCAACGACATCTCTATCAGGCCCCATCGTGCGAATCAATCCCAACGAAGTCCACTGCGACGACATCCGCTTCGCAGACGAAATATATGCAACCGGTAGCCGAAAACGCGACAAGCCAAAGCACCAAGTCAACGGATCTTCGTAAGCCACCCATTGCACACATACATGCCAGCCATGTAGTTCCACTAACCTGTCCCAGTATCTCATTATCCGGCTTCGGCACCATCGACCACGACCTCCACCGACTCCGGCGCGTCCCCCTAGCGAAATTCTTCTCGCGAGCCATGATCACACGGCTCGAACCCGAAATCCACAGCCTAGTCCAACAGCTCTGCGACAAGCTCCTGCGGCAATCCGGCGACAAAGACCCCTTCGACATCGCCATGGCATACAGCTGCTTTACTTCCGACGCCATCTCCAGCTACAGTTTCGGCGAAAGCTTTGGGTTTCTCGACCAGGAAGGGTGGTACCCGAATTTCCGAGAGCCAACAGCCGCAGTCCTACGACCCGTTTTTGTGTTTCGGTTTTTCCCATGGACGAGTAAGAGTGCGGCGCTTGCGACGACTTTTATCGATTATTTGCCCAAGGATATTGCGTTGATGGTGAAGACTTTGCAGGTTGATTTGCCGAATAGAGTGCTCAAGGCGAAGGCGGATCTTGACGCGGGAATCACATACGACCGACCAACGATCTTTGCTTCCCTCTTACAGTCTGACCTCGGTGCCGGGGATAAGGGCGTGGTGCGCCTAGTTCATGAGGCACAAGCTGTACTGGGTGCCGGCACAGAGACCACAAGCTGGGCTTTGGCCGTGATGACATACCACCTCCTAACCAACCCCCAAATCCTCGCTAAGCTTACCCAAGAGCTCCAAACCGTTGTCAAAGACCCCCAAAACCTCCCTGGATGGACTGTTCTGGAAACACTACCGTACCTCGGCGCTGTCATCCAAGAAGGACTGAGACTATCTTACGGCGTTTCTAGCCGCACAGCGCGTATCCCGACGGAGGAGACGCTGCTGTACCGTGGCGAGTGGAACAAGAAGCCTGTTGAATATGTTCTTCCTAAAGGCTATGCGATCGGCATGTCGTCGTATGTTACACATCACGATGAACGCGCTTTTCCGGACTCTTATGCTTTTGCGCCTGAGCGGTGGTTGGATGAGAAGGATCAGAGGAGGAAAGAGCCGGAGCGTAGTATACTTTCTTGGTCGAAGGGGAGTCGCTCTTGTTTGGGGAAGAAGTAAGTGGATTGTGTTTGTCTTGAGTTGGAAATGGGTTACTAACGTTGATCTCGTAGTCTAGCTTTGTGCGAGCTTAATTTGTGTCTCGCTGCTACGGTGCTGCGTGTGATACCGAAGATGCGATTGTTCGATACGACGGAAGAGGATGTGGCATATGATCATGACATGTTTGTGCCGATGACGAAGGATCATAAAGGTGTAAGGGTTACAATCGAGTAGTGTAATAGAGAGTCAGTTCATAATCCAAATGAGTTCAAACACTCGACGCACGCGGCATATATTCCTGCTCTTTGTTCATCATTAGATTCCGGATATCGCTTTTGATTTGTGGTATCTCATACTGAAAATAATCCTTTGCGCCATGTATGCGTTCTCCTCTTGTTTTCTCCACACAAAACACGCGCTCTGGCTCTCTCCAATGCCCTCTACAAATACTCCTTCTTCCTTCCCGTCCTCGTGTATTGGTTGAGATGCCACTCAACATCCCCCTCCTTATTGTCCAAGGTCCCCGCCCTAATCTCAAACAACCGCATGCTCATCCTCGGTCCCACTTCCGCCAGCTCCACAGACTGATACCCCGTCTTAACAAAAACATGGTGCCGGACCTCAATCGTATCCTCAATGTTCTTGAACGTAACGACGCGGTTTCCTACTTTGGCAGTGGCTTCGCGGGGCGGGAATAAGTGTTTCAGGATCTGGACGCAGCGTTCTCCTAGCTTGGTACTGAAGCCTTCGAAAATTAGATGTGGGTAGGATTCGGAGACTGTGCCGCGAGAGGCGTTGGGAATGTCGGCGCGGAGGACGACGTTGCTGGATTAGGTGAGTAGGTGTGGAACGAAGGGGTAGGATATGGCTTACTGTAATGAGAAGCTGGCGGTTGGGCCGTGGGGGAAATGCGATACTGTCAAGGCGGTCGGTGTTCCTCTGTGCTCGTGAAGAAGGACGATGTCGCTCAGTCCACCTGATTTGGCGCTCTCGACGAGGTTTGGTAAGACCATGTTTCCGCGGTTCAATCGTATCGCCGTAGGTAGCAGTAACCTGATTTCCTTGGCGAACGTTCCCAATCTACTTGACGGATCTATTCCAGCATTAGCATTTCCCTCTGCATTCCAAGCTATCCCAGGCTTTTGTACCTCTTGAAGTTGTGACCAATATCCTGGGATCTACCACACCCGACAGCTGCGCATACTCGTCGTCTAGCCCTAGCTCCTCCTCTGCGGTTCTATCCGCTCTGCTCTCATCGTACTTGAAATCCTGTCGTAGATTCTGGTCGTTGGCGACATCTTTTGACAGTGGCTTGCCGCTGGCGAGAGAAGCTTTCAGCGCTGCTCTTTTAGAAGCGAGTTCGGCGTCGCGGAGGGTAAGCGCGCGGCGGTAAAGGTAGTCGCGACGTTCTCGGGCTTGTTTGCGGATCATGATGGTGGTGTGTGGTGTGGTGTGAGTTGGGAGTATTACTTGGGGCGCATGTAGAAGTTGGAAAGTTCGCGACCGGGCGACGAAAAGAAAAGTGGGTCGCGCGGCTTATCGATAAGATCACGCCAATGCGAATACCTCGGACTCCCGATTTCACTCAAAGACATCAGTTATCACCGTGTCATATCTCGTTATTAGAGTCTACATTAAGTACCTCCAAAATGTGAGTAAGCTATGTACAAGAACGTAAACTTTCACGCCTTCCCTCTCCCGGCCCGATCCACAATCCTCTCCACCTTCATAAACCTCATGCAGTACTAGAGATATTCTAGCCGAAAGAACGCTCATAAACCCAATCTCGAAATCATACATCCACTTCAAATCTCACGCAATCATTCACCAGAAGGTTGCGGGTTGAAACGCTAAGACCTCATTCACTACTGCAGATGTGGTCAGCAAGCTGCGACATCAAGCCCGTTCCTGGACCACACGTACCCTTGGAACATCCACATACTATCAATCATCGCATTTCATCCGCTTAGGCTCTGAAGCTCTGCCCTCTCCGCCTAGTCAGAGACTCAATCTCCGACTCCACATCCCAGCACTCGTAAAACGCAGCCCAGTCACCCACAAAGTCTCCGTCTACGGGGCCATAGTATTTGCCAATGGGATACCCAACGCCGCGCGTTGATTCGCTGTAGAAGTTGCACGTGGTGCCTGAATCTACGTGGTAGCTGACAGGTTGGATGTAGTAGCCGTCTGCTCTGTCCTGAGTGATGACGCGGACGTTGTTCTGGCCGGTGGTGTCGAGCATGTAGGTTTTGCCGTTGCAGTCGGTAACGTGGGCGACGGGGCTGAGGGGGAGGTTAGTGAGTGAGTTTGAGGTTGAGATGAGCTGAGATTTGGTACTTACGGAAGGGCTTCAGCAGCGATAGCGATGGAAGAGGTGAGCACGGAAGCGAAGATGAATAGGGTGGACAACATCGTGGGGAACTGCATGGTGGACGAGCGATTCTTGGGTCTTCACTACAGAAGAAAGATGGTGACTGTAAAGAGGCTTATAACCTGGTGCGTCAGGAAGACGATTGCCGTTGTACTACTACTCCAGCGTTGCACAAAGTTCTCGACCGTGATAGCGCCTTCCCAACACGATCCCGTTACCGTGGAACGCGAGATAAAGCAATCAACAAGAAAAACAAAGAACATATCTTAGCGCGCTCTGGAAGCTACAACGCGTCCCCCAAGTAGCTAGTTCGCTGAATGGACTGTATGTATCCGGCAAGCTTGAGAAGTTCCCGACGCTACATACCCCAACATATATAGCATGCGCACGCTAGCATTCAGCCCTTCAGCCTTGAGTGAGGGGTCCGGGCGAGCAGCTGTAGTAGTTGGGCGCTTTCTTCCAACGCCGCTCTTCCTTCGATAGAAGCCCGCTGCAGCGCGAGAACTGGTCGATGTGTTCGTCTCCGCCGTTGTTGCATGTACCCGAGTCGACGGCGCTAGAGAAGTATGAGTAAGTGCGTGTTTTGTATTCAATCCTACTTAGGTGAGTAACTTACTAGTACAGGTAACAGTCGCAGTTGAAGGCCTTGAATCCAGTGATCTCCTTGTAGTCTTTGACGGGAATACAGCCACCCCACTCAAGACGCTGGTGTACTTTGTCTCCGATCCAGGTCTCGGCACAGATATCTCCTTGGGTGTGACATTCGTCACGTGCGGCGAAGACGCTAGGGCTCGGTCGGGAGGATCGAGGGGCGGCAAGAGTGAGTGAGAGGAAGACGAATAGACTGAGGAAGGAGTAGAAGTGATACATGTTGTCGAGGTGGTCAGGAGTGAGCTGTCGGAAAAGAGTTGTCAGGGGACGGTCTGGTATTTTGGGAGGAGCGGGAGTCAATCCGCGACTCCTTATATCAACGTCCGGGAATGCGCCAAGCCGGTGCGTGAATCACTTGAGGAATGCGCGAACGTACCCGGTGAAGGCCCGGGCCGCGCCTCCCACGCCGTGGGTCCAAAATGTGCGGGGAACTACAAATTTACTCTTGCGAAGAATTGAGCAACGCTCGCGTATATGCACGTATATTGCCAGCTCATCTTTCATGCACTGGTGTGGCGTATCTGGGGGCCGACACACCTTTTCGAACGTCAGCTCCAACCACTTCAGACCCCACTCGTATCGGAGTCTTTGAGAATAATGTGCCGCAACGAAATATGTTCGCCGGCGCGTGAGTGCAGCGTGAATGGGTTCGCAGGCGGTTCGCTCGTCATGGGTGCGGATAGCAACACCATCAAAGTACCAGGCTGTCACATTACGAGTCGATTATAAGCGATCCAGGCTGATGTATCAGTCACGCACATACGTGTAGCCAGAGATCATGACGGAAGAGATGTTTCATTTCGCTGAGTGAAACATGATTTGGCCTACCAACGCCGCAAACATACATTATCGCTAAGAAGCCACCACCAATGTCAGCACTGCCATGCTGATACGACACTCAAAGTTGTGACAGCCGCTAATGACTCCGGCCGCATTCGAGTCCGCCATAATGCTATCAACCCAAGGTTGCACACCTGTACCACTTGGGATTGGGATCCTCGAAGCAGGGTTCTTCGCCGGGTTCCCCAGTGGGTCCCTCATACATAGGTGGATTGGTTGCTTCTTTGCAATCTTCCTCGCTCCTGGTAGTTGTCAGCCACTGTCTTGGAGTACCCCAAGTACGGAGTCTAGTGACTAAGTAGTTGCCAGGCATGGCGATCGTCTTGTGCAGGCAGGGTAGCGACGGGTATGTAGTCCTCAACCAAGGTCGTGATATCGCGTAGATACAAGATCCAACGATACGTATCCCTCAAAGTGTATTGTACTTACAGGTGAAATGAGCATTCACAGCCTCCAAACAAGCTGTAGGCGTACGCGTCTTGAAATCCCGGGATCGTGTCGTTGTAGTAGATCGCTGTACACTCAGCTACAGCCGGGGGGTATGCGGAGATACCAGCATAAGCACTGCTGTTTCGAACGGTGAGAACGTAACCGCAGTTGTATGGCTCGCCGTAGAGTTCTGGAGTGGTCGCTAAAGGAGCTGAAAGTGCGATGGGCAAACTGGAGAGCAAGCTTGTGAGGATGGTGGCTAGATACATCTTGGCTTTCGGTAGGTTTCGCTTCGATGAAGAGAGGATATAGAACTATCGTTGTTTTGAAGGCGATTCGATGCGTAGAGTGAACAGGGTTTGGACAAGAATTCCAAGCGTCTTTGAGATATCTTTGGTGTATGAGCTGAATATGCTTGCGTGCTGTGTGCCTTAACAGAGTGGATGCGAAGCAGGCCTAAATACCACATGTGAATCGCGATGAGCTCATCTCAGACATTCTCGCCAGTCGTAACCGAGCTGTCAAAATGCAAGATCCCGTCGTCAGCATGGCTTTCGTACCCCCTTCTCTGCCTATTACGGACGTTGAGCGTTGCACACATATACCGATCTTATGTCACCTTCGCCTTCTTGACGAATGCGCCCACGACGGTGCCCTATCAAGCACGATAAACGCGATCAGGAGCCATATGCGCAATATGTCGGTCAAGCCGAGTTGACGTGTTCGGATGTAGGAGCAGCCTGACCGCCGAACCGCGCCTCTCCGGTACGACGCTGGAATGTATTCGAGACAGTAGTTGCAGTAGTATGGGGCAATATCTGTGTCGATAACGTAGTCTTGGGGCGCTTGGCGTGGTTTGCTACTTCATCTCTGCGAAATCGCGATCACCGATTGGATGTCGGCAGCGGTGAGTATAGCTAGAGGTGTTACTGCAACGGTATGACGAAAGAAAACGACGAGAAGTAGCGCTTGATGCAGTCGTACCAATCCTCTATACGGATGTATTACGAACAAGTTTAGCAGCGTCAGTACGCATACAGCTGGAAACGAAAAGCGGTATGTTACAGTGTATGCCGTGTTCTAAATATTCAGGATATGGCGTCGAGAAGAGTGGACATGTGCCATCGCGCATGAACGATGAGCTCGTAGCCAGCAGGTAACATCCCGAAATAGTCCTGTATTTTAACATCTTTGTGGTAACTCACGCCGATCGATATGAAGAATGCAAGATAGTGCATACCTGTACGGCGGTACAGGCCACGAATGGCGAGCTTGTTTGTGTCAGGCTTCGGACGAAAACTTGATGCCGAGGAGATTGAAGTGACGTGACGCGCGGATTTGACAGCATAATAGAGGTGGTCAGGAGTTGTGAAAGGAAGACGCATCGATGTTGGAAGACGATAAAGAGGGGCGGCCTTAGCGTCCACGTGACAGCGCGAGATCTCGACGACGCGCTGACTTTGGATATGTCGACAATGTACCAAATCCCGGAACCACATCCGAACTCAACTTTGACAACCTCCCGAAATGAGCTGCGCAAGCATAGAACAAGCTCTTACGGGCTTGATACCCACATTGAGCGGCCCACTGCCACCCGAGCTGATAGAATTGGCGCTTTCTCTCCTCACGCGTTCGCGAAGCGTCGCGACATCCATGAAGCCAGATGAGGAGATCGCACGACCATACGCATGTGCGCAATTGGCATGTGAAAGGTAAGAGTCTTAAATTGGATACGCGAACCTAATACTGACCTCTAAAGGCTGAAGAAGCGTCTCAATCTCCCTACCATCGCATCACGACCCCCCTGTCCCCCTCGGATATACAAGAAACTATACAACTACCTCAGCAGCGCACTCCCCGACAGCACAACGCCTCGCGAGCCATCAACACCGAGCAAACCAAAAGCCTCAGCCCCCGCATCAGCACGCAACACACCAAAAACGCCGTTGAGCGCGAGGAAAACACCGAGGACTGCAAGGAGGCTCGATGACAACAATGGCGAAGCACCAGAATGGGTGATGCCTACGATACGCTCCCTGGCTAAGACGTTCGAATACACAAGTTTGATACCGCACGTATACACAGGCGTAGAGTCCATCTACCCCCTCCTGTCCCGCATGTCCGCCGCCGCCGCCGAAACACCCAGCAAGCGACCGAAACGAGCCACAACCACCACTTCGTCATCGGGAGAAGTCAGTGATACCCGCGTACTCAGCCTGATTGTCGTGGTGTTTCTCCTCGTCTACTCGCGCATGAAAGACATCGACGTCTCCATACAACAATACAACGAATGGCTGGCAAAAGCAGTGAAGGCCGTTCTGGTCCTCCCTGCTACAAAGGACGTCGAGGATGGAGAACTCCAAGCCAAGATAGAAGAAACGATGAAGATGGCGAAGGAGGAGGGGTGGCTGCAGATGCAATGGTTCGATAGCGTGAAGCCGCAGGGCGATGGGGAGGAGATGGAAGGTGTGGAGATGGGCGATGATGCGGCGGCGGCGGCTAAGGCGAAGGGTATGGGGCTCAGATCTGGTGGGAGTGATTACATTGGGTTGGGGACGATGATGCAGGACGCTACGGACTATTTGGGGGAGCGCCAGCAGGAGGATTATATGAGATGGAAGGAGGATATACTAGCGAGAGTACGTGAACTCGAGGGAGCTGCCTAGTGGCGGAATTTGCGTTGCGGAATACACGTCACTAAATGTTGATAAGTGTATACTTCCAAAGACGATGTATCCATCCGCCCTACTTATAATTTTGCCGAATACGATACAGATTGGAGCCTTTCCAGGATGCTAGTGTCATACCGCAAGAGATTGGAGCAAGTGCTATTAGATTCTGGGGGTATCCGCACCATGTTCTACGTACATGTCTACTCATACAAAGCCCTCCGTCTCCCTCCAGCCATGCCCATACTTCCACGCGCCACACCCAGCTCTAGGCCATCATGCTATGTAAGCGAATCAAATTTGTTCCGTTATCCCTGACGCTGACGAGCTTGGAGTCGATATGTCCTGTCTCTCTCTTGACGGCAGCGTCGTCTCCACCAGGCTTTGTCACCTGGTCCTGCGGTACATCTTCAATGGCGAAGAAGATGTGCATATCGAACGCGAGCCTCCGGTTTCTGCTGGGAGACTTCACATTGGTCACAACGGTCACCTTAGAGATACGTTTGATGCCGAGTTCGGCTTTGTGGGTCGCCAGGAAGTATGCTGCTGTCGCGCCGATGGGTGAGGCTGGAGGTAGTCAGTATGATTTCAGGTCACAGCAGCGACCTGATAATTAGGCCAGGAGGTCGTCAATGGGTTTCCGGACGTTGGACCAACGTTACAAAGAGCGAGGTAATCTGCAAAGGGGAGTACGTGGGTGAGGTTACTTACCAATGAGCGCAGTGTATTCCTCAGTCCCAATTGGGAATACAGCACCCGGCCAGGGCGATAACTTTTTAATGCCTTTGTTCTTCATGGCCCGAGCGACTAGAAGACAGGTATCAGGGTTGATGACATGGTGAGCGGCGTACATGCGGAAGTTCTTGATATTGGGGTTGTCGCGAACCCAATAGCCCCAGAAGATGTCGGACGCGGTACGAAGTTCGGGCAGCTCTCCGGGGTTTGCTGGCCGACCCCATCCCATGTTACCAAGAACAGCATGGCCTGGACTCTCGATGTTCGTTGCCATGATGCCTCCACCGTTTGCGCCGATGTTGACAGTGAACTCGTAGTAACCGCAAGTTGACTGGACTGTGTCAGCTACGTGCTTTCAAAATCAAACAATGCTTGTTCCATCGAAGTCTGTGACAGCTACAGGTGCTGTTGGATCGAGTATGACATACCAAGTATTTTTTGCCCGCAACGTAATAATCCTGGTCTTTGCAAGCCATCATACCCCCAAATTGAGGGCGTGGGTCCGGTTCCCGTTCTTCGTCATAGTGTGTAATCTTGAAGCATTCATTGTCCCCACCCAGCCGCTCGCCTTCGTCGTCAAACTTCGGTTGCGAGTTGAGACCGTGGCCTTCAAACGCCGTTTTGAGCCCCTTGGCTTCGAAATCGCCATCCCAGCCCGTGTCAACATCGCCTTCGTGCCAGTACCACAATGGAATCTCAGCTCTGAGCTCGCCGGTCCATTTGCTCGCTGCGGAAGGCGGTTGTCTTGTATCTTTCGAGAGCCATCCGGCGCCTCTGTCGGTGGCGTCCATGAGACACGTCAAGTGATGTCCCTTGTCCAGGTACTTTTGCCATTTAGTGTCATCGGCCCAGTTGCCTGGATTGAAGTCGCCGCCATCGGCACGGGGAGCGAGAGCAGTAGGAGCGAATTTCGGAGCATTGAACTCTGGAGGGCTGAATTGGGGAGGAGCGTCCGAGGAGTCGATACCGAAAGTTCTGGTAATCACGGGACTGTCGATATGTCTACCGATGACCAAGGCGACGAGCGCGATAGCGACGCCTAGAGTACTTCGGGGCCTCATAACTGAAAGTTTTGAGGTGGGTTGTGGGATGTTGCCGAATACCGATGGTGCGCGGTAGACAAGGAAAGAGCGTTTGTTGCCCCGTATACGCTAACCGCACCCAGCGGTGAAGTGAGTGAATCATAGGCAGGCGGGAGAACAGACAGTATTGCTAGCGCGCGCGAACCCCATGCTCCGACGAGACATGATCTAATCTCCAGATCAATGCTCCAGGACGCCTACATCACAACGAAATCCTCCGGAACTACACCAACGAACCCAACGTCTCCGCCACGCCTTACTCCTTATACAACTCCGCCGTCCTCCCCCTCCCCTCCTCCAACACCGCTTTGACCATTTCCCCATCTCTCGGAACAAGCCTAACGCCAAAGTCCCGAGGAATAGCCACCAGCGCACTCTTTATAGCATTGTAGTCCACGTAATCAGTATTCGGCGGTTCTGTCACACTGGCCTCAATCTTATACAGGCTGAGCAAACGAAACAGCGCGGCGTAAATGAGCTTGCTTGCTATCAGAGCGCCGGGACAGGATCGAGAACCGGCGCCGAAGGAGAGGTGAGGGGGGTTCGCGTGGGGAGTCGGTGTGTGGAGGGAAGATGGGGTGGTGGGAGGTGTGAGCCAGCGTTCGGGGTTGAAGGTTGCGGCGGTGGGACCGAAGTAGTCTGTGTCTGTGGGCTGTCAGTCTTCTATAGACATGTCATGGAAGTGAGCACCATCTTACCATGATTTCCAGCTTGAGCGTTGATCAACACCATCGTCCCCTTCGGTATAACCGCATCGCCCCACCTGACCTCGCTCATCGTCTTACGCGGTAGACTCATGTTACTGACTGTATAATACCGTCCTGCTTCCTTCACAATCGCGTTCAGATAGGGCACAGTTTCCTTCTCGAAGTCTGTTGCCCACGCTTGCTTCAGCGCCGCATCGTCCGGATACAATTTGCGAATCTCCGCATAAGCGCGTTCTTGGTAGATCTGGCCTTCGGGTGTAGATAAAGAACCAATGCAGGATACCAATGTACCGGGTATCGTTTCAAAGCCACCGGAGACGAGAGACAAGCAGATCGAACTCACTTCGACACCTGTGAGGCGGGTTTCTTCGTCCTTGAGGATGGCGGCGCTTATACATGGTTTCTCAGTGCCGTTCTTGATCATCTCGCGGACCTTGTCTAGAAGCTCGTTGAGGTACTTATCTCGTCGCTCGCGTAGTTCTTTCGAGCGCCGGTTCTTCTCGTTGTTGGGTAGGTATCGCAGAATGGGGACGTAATCTTGATAGTTCTCTGAGGCGGAGCGGAGGAGCGAAATAGCTGACCCGACTTCGAGGATCTCGCGGAGAAGATCGTCGTAGACTGCGTCCATGCGGATACCATAGCACAATGTGAGGGTTGTGTTGAGGGCATAGCGCTGGATGTACGGTCGGAAGCTGACTTCGACCTCCCCACTCTTGCTGTCGCGGCAGAGATCCCGAGCTATGCAGTAGGATTCCAAATCAAACATGTCGTAATAAGTTTTCATCGTACCCTTACTCAGCGTCGTCGATGCAGCTTTGCGCTTGTTTCGACAGCTCTCGTCCCATGGTGAACTTCCGATAGTGAACCCCTGTGTTGACGAGATCAAGCCGTGGAAGGTATACAACTTCGGCCGATCAATCAGTCCCTGCGAGTTCGAGACCAGAATCTTCTTGCAATCTTCGAAGGAATTGACGATTACAGCGCGCGTGTTGCCAAGTCGAATCTGGAAGACCGAATTGCCATACTGCCGCCACCACTTCTCGCATACTGTAGCATGGTCGTCGCCGAGCTGGGTGAGGTGACCTGTAATTGGGAGAGCACCTGGTATCTCTGGTATACCGCGTATGTATGGGATGTCGGTACGACTCAGTACCTAAGTAGTTGTCAACGTCGCTGATCATAGCTGAGTTCATATGAATCAAATACCTTGTACGCTACAAACGCAACAACTACAATGATTGATACCACTACTATATGACCAGAAGGCATATACCTAGCATGAGGTACGATATCCGGCAGATGCTCCATATTAGAACTTGGTGATACAAATCTTGAACTTAATAGCAAAGGAAGAGATCCATTAGCAAAGTAATGAGAACGTTACTTATAGATGCCATCGTCCAGGTGTGCGAGGGCACTGCCGGCATCCAATGCTTTCATGCATGATCGCGAGGGGTGCATTCGGAACCGTTCCGAAGATAACGGGCTGCTTATCAGTACAGCTCCCACCTTTGAGTTCATTGGAGACCGCGCAACGCGCCGAAATCGCCTCTTAGACAATACAGAAGATGCCATCATGGGATCAGGATCTCTCCCGCGTATACTTGCCGAATGAAGCTGGTGGGTTGATGCAAACGTAGGGGACGATGACTGGCACCCTCGCCTAAGGTGTCCTGAGGGTATATGCTATGAGTTCCAGCTCGAACGGAGCAAGCAGGTGTTGTGCCTTGGAGGTACCATGGATAGTATCACGCATAAGGAACGAGCTGCTTCGTACGTAGTGTCTGTGGCGTGGAGGTCACTGACGCGAGTCAAAGACGCCAAAGTCGCGTTGGTGGCTGACTAAGCCAGCCCTGGAGCTCAGGCATCCTGTCGTTGCGTCATGCAATGCGCTCCTACGCGATCCCTCCAACTCCGCGTAACCATCCTTCTGCCTGAACGCGATTACGCAGCCATGTCTGCCTTACACCCACAGCGCCCATCTTCACAATGCTATAAGGACGCGCGATCTCGCTTTGATCACCTACTAACACCGTATTAACCCACTCACCACAGCAATAGTTCCAGCCATCCCATCCACCACCACCCAAAATGCCCATCACCGAACTCGCCCTCCTCCACCTCACCCCGGGCACAACGCTCGAATCACCCACCCTCCGCGCCAACCTCTCCCACGCGAAATCCGTCCTGCAGAACTACACAAACCGCACTTTCTACTACATGCAGCAAATCTCCGATCCGAGCTGCATCTACGTAGTGGGAGAATGGGCCTCGCTAGACCAGCACCTGAACGATTTCATCCCCAGCGCAGATAACCAAGCGCTGTTGGAAAGCTTGAAGGACTACATCACTGTGGATTCCAACCTCGAACATCTCGATGTGCCGAATGCGGAGCTGCCGTTGCCGAGAGGGGAGGAGGAACTGGAGAGGGCGAGGAGGGGGGAGCAGGTTTGGAGTATTACACATTACACTATCAAGGCTGGGAAAAGAGAAGCTTTCGAAGTTCGAATCAGGGAGATGAAGGAGAAGTTGGATAGGACCTATTTTAGTGGGAAAGGCGGGATTGGAGGTGGATGGGGTGTTGGGAAGAAGCAGGGAGAGGATGATGTGTTTGTGACGCTTTTTGCTTGGAGGACTGTTGCGGAATATAACCTGTCTGGGAAAGGGAAGGAGAGGGAGGCTTCTGCGTATACGAGCGAGTGTGTTGAACGGAACGATGTTAAGCATGTCAGGCTTTTGGATATTTAAGACGATTAGTATCATGGGGACACCCGTTCCTACACTGGCACTCGGGATGGCAACTCCAGACCATTACATCACAAAGTTTCATGGTAGAGCATTACATTACGTTCATTAATCTCGATACATCCTCGCTGCATCTATCTACACATAGATATAGCAGAACGGCCCACCGAGTGTGCTCATCGCATCCTTGATCGTGATATTCTCAAATGTATCCTGGAGCATTGGACCTAGGGTCAACGTATCATTCAGTGTGCCGTTGCGACTCGGCGGGCTGTTCAAGAACGTGATGGTGCCGTCGATCGCATTTCTCCTGTTCTTGAGGTCTTGGTTCTGCCAGATCCACCACGTGCGATCGATTTGTGCATGATGGAAGTAGAAGGCCTAGCGATGGAGTCAGCGCGCACTCAGAGGAATCAGCAGTGTAGCGGAATACTTACAGGGTCGGACGGCGAGTTGAAAAAGTCGGAGCCAGCATCTCCTCCAATGGTGTAGTGACCAGCGGTGTGAACACCCATGTACTTGTTGGGGTAATCGCCCTGCATGCGGTTTTGGAAGGTGAGGATGTCTTTGCTGTTCTTGATGAGCTCGGTGATGACTTCGTCCCTCGACTCGTAAGCAGAATGCTTGTTCACATCCCGGCTTAAACATCTTGGGTTGTAGCCCAGACCGTCAGCTTGCGGGTTCGGCTTGAGATCTTTAACTTTGCTATCGATGGGCCCGAGAGACATGGTCCAGTTTGCCAGTGGCCCGGAAACGCAGCCACCGCCACTTCCGGGCGGGAGCTTGATAGGACATCCCTGTGCTTCAGATGGAATGCATGTGTAGTTTCTTCCGGGGATGTAAGCTCCAGCGTCAGATATACTGGTATCACTGCCGTCGAAAAGGGGAGATGATGCTGGGTCTTCGTGCCACCATGCCCAGTTGTAGTATGGCAGATAGCCCTTGTAACCACATTCGTTGCGCAGCAGTTGCTCATAGGCATAAATGTAATATCGGTGCCATGATAGGAAGTTTGCCTGCCAAATTAGCTCATGTCGTCTCGGGCGCTGTTGTGGCGTCTCGTTGATCGAACTCAACTGTTGAAATCAACAGGGTGCTCCACTGTGAAGACGTACAGTTGCATGTACAGAGTATGTCTGCAAGACGTGTGTCACCACAAAGTCGTCGAAGCGGCTCCTTGCTCCAGGAGCGACGGAAGCAGGGGTAAGAGAAGGCTTTGAGTGTAAACACTTGATAGCATCGATGTAGTTCCGCCTCTCGGGCTTCGAAAGCATTGACCTGGAGAGTGACTCGTCAATCAAATGTGGTTTGGGTATAACTTGGATGGGTATATACCACTCGCGTCGAACGGCTACGTTCTTCAGTGTGCACTGGCCGGGATTTGGGTAGCCATTCTTTGCTACATCGATTCCAACGTTGGCAAGCCCAAGAGCTGCCAATTTGTCGTGCTCTGTGACTTTGAACGCACAGGCGCCACTGACAAGCGCCAGAGCCGCGAACTCGAATAGACGCATCTTGGTGAAAAGAGTTGTGTTGACCGCGCACTTGTGCTTCTGTAGGCGGCTGAGATATCAATTGACGAAAGGCCTAAGAAGGGGGTTATCCTGGTGCGTCTGAAGTCTTCCTGACAAAAATTGTCTCCATATATAGCTGTCGCTCGCTGCACATATCGGTGCTCTCGGCTTTTACATCCCCTGCAAGTCAACGTGTTCGCGAAGCGAGCAAAACGCAGTGCCGATGCAGGACCTGACATGGCGGGATTTACTTTACCATACTGCGCCGCAATATAACAATCTAGATGCTTAGATGAAGCCTCGTAGGATCAGTGGCGCGAGACTATGCAGATGAGTGGATGGAATCTCGGCACATTAACTCAACGAGATGCAGTCGGATTTCTCCAACATCCGGCAAACCGGTTGAGCAACGTGAGCAACCCTTCTTCATCCCTTGCGCAGGATCAAATCAATCTTCCGGTGGGGCACCTTCTTCTCCTGCCGCTAACTTGATGTACCTGCAAGTACCATTTGTGGTATTGATGTGACGCCTGAGATCCATGGGTGTTGCGCAGACGAGATCCGCCCAGGGTTTTTTTTTTGGATATAGTACGGAATACAGAGCGATGAAGTCGAAGAAGGCGGAATCACAGTTCACAATACCGCGATCAACTGTCATATGGAAGTTGATGAGAGATGGGATTGTCCGCGGGGGCGACTACTTCGACCCGCATCCGCGTCCGTGCCCCGCCTGGGGGCATTGCCAAGCACGCCACGGCGGCTCGGGGCAGCGAGCCGCATGTTCGTCTCCGCACCTCCTTTCACCGCTGAACGTTCCATTACCTCGCTTCCATTCGCGCTTGATCACAAATCCTCGTAGGATTTCGCCTCATCTGCTCGTACTATATCCGGTACAGCCACCAATCTCGAACACCATGCCCGTCAAGTGCACCTGGACAGGGTTCCTTGCGTACCTAGTCTCTTATTCCGTACACCATCAGTAGGCCTTGAAGTTACTTCAACCGTCTTCTCGTGTCTTTTGCTCGCCTAGAATTTGTCCTGTTTGATATGTGATCACGGAACAGCTGATAGTCTTTCTTTGCAACTACGCCACAATCCTGCTGCACGCGACTGGAGGTCTAGAATGTAACGTGGAGGATCCGCGGTGGAACAACTCGCTCCGAACCGTGTTTGTTGCTTACATCGAAAGATACCTCCCAAGAGCCTGGTCTGTCGTTTTTAGGATCTGGCAGGATCGAGCTATCTCTCCAATAGTCGAGTCGAGGTATGCAACAGCCCATGCATAATCACATCAGCACATTAGTGATTCCAACGCGACAGGGACTTGATATGCCTAGAAGCCACAACTCCCTGGAATCAGGGCATGTCGCTTCGAATCCCTCTACACGAGCTCATCCTCGAAGCCAAGTCTACCGGTACAACCGTACATACGGAAGGAGACCGAGGGATTTGCTACGCTGTCAGGTTTCAGCAAGAGAGATTGATGAGTGTCTTGTTTATTGCCGTGCCGCAATATGATGGCGTTTTACAATGAGAGTAAATTGAATACAAAACTGCTCGCAACGCATTGCATGTTGCATAATTGTCGTTTGTCTTCTTCACCGCCGCTTTGCCATTGTTCTTCATATAGCCATCATGTCAGGTACGAATCCGGCGGATGCAAACCCCGACTTACAAAATCCTGATTACCTTGCCTTCACCAACGCTCCCACTCTACTACTCCAAGCCGGCATCCTATTTGGAGTCACGGCCCTGATCGTCTTGCTAAGATGCTACGTTCGAGTTGTAATGCTGAGAAGCTTCGGCAAAGACGACTGGATCATGTTACTTGCTTTCGCTTTCGCGATAGCGGAGTTTGTTGTGTATGCTGAGCAGACTAAGGTGGGCTTAGGGAAACACGTCTCAGTTTTGCGGATGGACGCAGACGGTGAACGGCAGCTGCTCAGACTGCGCCAAGTGCAGTCGATTCTCGTCGGCATTGGAGTCGGTCTGGTCAAGATTTCTATCGCCTGCTTCTTGTTGCGTCTAGTAACAAGGAAGGCGTACATATGGTTTCTACGGGGGTTCATTGTTTTCATGGCCTTGTTTACCACGGCGTGTATTGGAACACTAGGTATGTGACTGCGAGATGGCGACCATCGGTCCATTACTAACGATTCCATAGTGCGTTTTCCCGATATCCTCAGCATATATGGTGATGATTATCCGAGACCTCGACTGACCTTACCCAGATATGGCAGTGCATCCCCGTGGCGGCTGCATGGGATTTGCGACTTCGTCCACCTCCTTTTGGCACAGGTACAGCCGTATGCTTCAGTAGGGCAACCTTCACCTCCATAGGAATGATGAACACAGGTGAGTCGAGCTCCTCGTTCCAGCACCATCTACTCACCCCATCTAGCCGTCACGATCAGCACAGACTTCCTCCTAGCCCTCCTCCCAATCCCGCTCGTATGGCAACTCCAACTCAATGGCCGTACAAAAGTCACCTTGGTCTGCATCCTAGCCCTCGGTCTCTTCGCCGGCGTCGCCGCCATCATCAAATCCGAAAAGCAGAAGACCGCTCTCATGGACCCAGACGTCTACGTACTCGACACCTTCACCATGTGGCGATCCATCGAATACTATGTCGGCATCATCGTCGCGTCGTTGCCTTCGCTCAAACCACTGTTCAAACACGTCCTCAATAACGGTACGAGAGGTGCAACGGGTAACTCGGGCCTTCAACGCCAGAGTAAAATACGGTATTCGATTAGAGGAAACAAGTTGGCGGATGACGACGAGGTGCCATTGGAAACGTATAGGGGAGTCGGCAATTCAGTTGAGGTTTCTTCGGGGTCGCCTAGGACGCCAGTGGAGGGTAAGAGTAGCGAGGATAGCGTAAGGCCTTTTGAGTCGAACGCTATATTCGTTGATACGAAGTGGCGCGTGAGCTGAAGGATTTTCTGTTCAAAACAGCTACATGATGAGGGATGTGATGCGATGCGACGGACGCATAAATGAAGAGACACCAATAAATTACAATGTCTTCCATTTGTGTCTTCTGCAACTCTATGACAACGCCCACTATACCTATATATACCCTATTCTCCTAGTCCGAACCACCAACCCCCATAACGCCCCTCCCAAACCACTCACTAATAACCGCAAACCCATCCCTGCCCCTCTTGAGCGCATCCTGGAAAAGATCATGCCTCTCAGCACTCTCCACCTGCGCCCTCCTAATCGCCTTGACCGTCGCATTACTCGAACTACAGATCGGGCACTCCACCTCCGCATCATGCACATCCTCATCCGTACTCAGACAACTCTGATGATAACTGTGCTTGCACAAGAAGTGCACAACAGGCAACTCGAGACTCTTCATGCACACTTGGCAACGTGAGTTCTGGAATACCGCGGGCTTGGTGTTGAGGTTTTCCAGCTCGATTTTCTTGGTTGAGGTGTCGGCGCGGAAGGTCTCGATGTTGCGCCGGTTGGAGGCGATTTCGGCGCGCTCGCGCTCGATGGTGGTGCTGAGGTAGGCTTTTATCATGCCCATGGTTGCTACACCGTTGGTGGAGAGAGTTTGGATTACTTGGAGGGGCGCCATGAGGCCGTCTTCGTCGATCTTCTTCAAGACCGAGTCGAGCTCGTCGCCGGCTTCGGCAAGAATAGAGGGCGTGGAGGTAAAGTAGGCGAGCGCCGCGGGGTAAAGCGCTGGTTCCAGGGGACCGTACTTGCGGAGTGCGCGTATGGCGCCTTGCGTGTCGTTGGCGGCCTTGTAGGAGCGGAAGATGTCGAAGTGAAGACCTTGCTGCTCACGGACGAGGATCGCGCCGTCGCGGAAGTTGGACAGATGGGAGAGCAGCAGTACGTTGGACGTGTCTATGGGTATGTCCTTGCCTTCGACAAGCTTTTTAGCTTTGTTCTCCCACTCTTGTCGCTCACCATCCTTCTTCGACGATGCAGTGTGTAAGTACATCTCAAACAAAGTGGTGTAAAGATCGACCTTGTCATCTTCGCGGAGATCATCGGATGCGATGCAGGCCTCGAGGAAGACTATGAGCTCTTGAGGGTGGTCGACGAATGCGGAGAACGCAGTTCGCGGTTTTGGTACTTTGTACTCCGGAGCGGGCTCATCTGAGGTCGTCTCGACGATCTGGGCTTGGCTCATGGTACTCTTCTGTTCACCGCTAGGAGGCGATGCCAACGCGTTGGTGTTCATGTATGGCAGCGGAAGTAGTGCAGCAAGATTTTGTACAGCGCTAGAAGCCACTCCCAAACCCATACTCATGCCACCGCCCCCTACTGTTGCAGGCGTATTGGGTATGACTATAGCATCCTGCTTGGGCCGGAACGTTCCGGTGTAATAGTCGATGAACAATTGCGTCGTATCCTTGGGGAGGTGCTGCAGTAGTACTGTCGCGTACTTCATGAGGTTGAAGTAGGCCACCTCGGGCTCCAATCGCCATATGTAGGCTAGGGCTTCGGCATATCGTTTCGAATCTTCAATCAATACATCGACGACCAACTCATGCTCGCCGTGTTTCCGAGCAAGGAAGGCCGCTTGGTCATAGTAACCGCCCTGTCGACACATCAAAATGGCCGTATCGAGGTCGAACTTTAGATCGTCCGGTGATTTGATAAACTCTTCAAGTTTCTCCACATCCTTCAGCTTGGCATAGCAGTTCAACAGGAGCGTTGTATGATCTGATGTGGCTTTGTGGTGGTCGTGGAGCTCCTCGAGGTACTCAATCAAGTTATGTATCCGTTGCGTATCAAGGAACTGCGTGATGTTAGTATTGGTCGTATCGCGATGGCATCATTGCATACCTTGCGGATGACCTGAGAGGGTTCTGTGTTATCGATAGCCTTCAGATACTGCTGCATAGCTGTATCGTAATCTTGCTTCGAATACAAGTAGTCACCAAACTTCCGGAGGATGATGTTCTGTTGTGACGAGTCTAGTCCGGCCTTCTGGGCCAGATTGATGGCCAAAACGTATAGATTGCGCTGGT